TCTGCACAATGTAAACAAACTGGCGCCATATTTGTTATCAGCACCATAATTTGAGCGTGCCAAATTATTAAAAAAGCGTAAGAATTTAGTGAAAAGATAGGCTGTAAAAGCAGTTTAAGTAATGCCAAAAAGAAAACTATCACCTCAGAACTCTCAAAAGGTAAATCTACCCTAGAAATTTCTAAAATGATAGGGAGGTGTCATCAAACAGTGAAAAAGTTCACCGCCGACCCTACACAAGTAAGCAAAAGGGCAGATAAAGGCAAGCCGAGGATTATTTCAGGTCATCTCATGTCACGACTTAAACGAGAGGCCACGAAGAACCCTGGACTTACTAACCAAGAGCTTTTCAGTGGCATTGGGGATCCTACTGTGTATAAAAGTACTCGGTGTCGATATCTGAGGTAAATAGCAACAACAGTCAAACCTGTATCGAAGCATCCGTTGACAAGAAATCACATTCAAAATTGATTGAAATAGGCCGAGGACAATATGAAGATTGTCTTCTCTAAAGTTTTGTTCACAGACGAACCTCGAGCAACACTTGATGGGCCAGATAGATGGTGCAAAGGCTGGGTAATGAATGGACAGAATCGCCATCAGCGTTTGAGATGCAAACAAGGCAGTGGAGGCATAATGATCTGGGCTGGTATTATTGGAAAAACATTAGTGGGCCCATGGAAAGTACCAGATGGCATCAAAATAACTGCTGATGCATACACAGCATTTATGAAGGAGCATCTTGAACCGTGGATGAAAAGGCAAAGAGTTGCCTTCAGAAGGGCCATTGTTTTTATGCAAGATAATGCTCCCTCACATGCTACTCACAAGACTACTGAATATTTAAAACAGTAAGGCTTCAATGGACCTCAAAAAATGAAGTGGCCAGCAAATTCTCCGGATTTGAACCCAATCGAAAACCTTTGGAGCATCATGAAGCGAAGACTGTATGCCAACGGACGACAATTCAGGAGCAACGTTGAGTTATGGGAAGCAATTCTTGACATATCTCGCGGCATTACAGCAGATGACATCCTACAATTAACAAATTCTATGGATCGTAAACTTGTTCAAGTAATTTCAAAACAGGGAAAGCACATTCCCTATTAATTTGTTTAAAACTGTGCCTTTGTTTGTAACTGTTATTATTTGTTTGATTATCTTATTTATTAGCTTCTTTTGATCATAAACATTCATGTGCAACATTAATAAACGTTTTGTTTGCTCAATTCTGGGAATTTTACTGAACCTTTCTAATAATTTGGCACGCTCAAACCACCGTGCTGATAACAAATATGGCGCCAGTTTGTTTACACTACGCAGATCAGTACGAAAATTTCAGTGTTTGCGCAGGTCAGTGTTGCCAACATTGTGTGAAAATTTTGTGTGAATTGATTGGACAGTTTTTGAAATATTATAAAAAAAGTTATCTTGATAATAATTTGGCACGCAGTGTATATATAAACACCCACTCCAGACAGAAGAGAGGATTAGACGTCTGTTATTTACCATGTATGGTTGCAACAGTAACAATAAAAAAACAGCAATGTATTGGCAGTGAGTTGGAAAGAAAAGGAGATAAAGCATGTTAAAATAAGATTATCTGTATTAACAATGTATACATATTTATATTGGATCAAGGTAAAATGTCTATTGTAGGCAAGTGAGGTGACAGATGTGAGAGTTAGTTTGTACTGGCCTCATATTGAAGCTTGCATCGAATCAGTTGACCAAGAGGTTGCTGTGAACTGCCTTGAGGGTTGCCAAACAGGTTCTTTTAAACAGTCAGGATGCATATGTGACATTTGTTTTGTTTTGTGAGCCAAATGCAATACTCTTTATACTTTTTTACTTTTAATTTAAATAGTGTTTACATCCAGCCAACAGGTTTTCATGTGGAGTGAATTAGAAAAAGGTCTAATTTGAATCAGAGTATAACACATCCATAGAAAACTGTAGGGCCTACAATTGGTGAGGGCCTCAGGGTCATACATCCATTGGCCAGAGGTAATTGATTAAATCCAGAGATGAATAAAATGTTATGTATGGGAGATTAAGTCTTGTGTTTTCCTTAGTAATGTATGGCGATAACATTACATCAGTGTCATTATGTTAAGGGTCACTTTCTCACTTCATCATCAAAGAGAGAATCTTTATAGTTTATGATTGTAATGAATAATGTGCAGAGAAAGATATTTTCCTCTTCCATCATGAATTTACGTCTTATGTAATATTAAATTTCACAACACTGGAAACTTTCCATTTTCCCCTTCCTAAACATTTTCATGAAAAGTTATTTCAATTTGCAAAGTTTGTCACCTTCTAAAATGTATTACCATTACTGTAGAAGCACATTTCTATCACTCTTAAGTGTCCTTTTCATCTGTAAGAAAATTGTCTAGCATTTTACTTCCATATAGGAGGATAGATATGACAGTGCCGAGCTGCTATGTGATGCCTATCCTCCTAGTCAGTGAATGCTGGACAATCTCACTACAGATGAAGATAAGACTTGAAGCAACAGAGATGTGACTCAACTGAAGGATGCTGAGAATACCATGAACAGAATTTGTAAAAAACAAAGAAGTTTTAAAGAAAAATGGAAACAAAAAAGACACTGAAACTTACTGTCAGAAAGAAAGTATTGAAATTTCTGGGACACATAATGAAGAAAGAAGGCCTGAAGAATCTAATACTCACAGGACCTATTGGAGGCAAGAGAGGCATAGGAAAACAATTAATAACCAACTTAAGAAGTTTATATAAAATGGTAGAGACTGGATGGTATGATGAGAGGACAAATATTGCTTTGAGCTACAAAAAATAGGAAGCTTTGGAGAGTCATGTTTGTCCACGTCCTGAAGGGACATGACACAGAAAAGAAAAGGAAAAATGGGTATTACATATCATTGCACCATCATATATAGGTAAAACCTTACACACCTCCATACATTTACATACAACCTCTTATCTAAACAAATATATGTGTCTGTCTATCTATCTACCTCACTATAAAAATATACATACATACATAGATGCACCTACATATACACATACAGATATATACACCCATGTACATATACAGATGTATACATACATACCTAAGCATACACACACATATACATACACACACATGCATATAGATATCCATATATACACATATATATACATACCTACATATGTAGAAATTTTGAAAAACAAACAAAAATCCATAAATGTAGTTAAAATGAAAGAATTGTTGACGTCAGACGTTTCGGTTTTAATAAACCATTTTCAAGACAAATTCATTAAAATACAAATTCAGTTCAATATGACGAAAACGATGGACATAAAAACACAAGTCTTATCCAAGAGTAAAACAGATAACTGAAAATTTTTAAAAAAAAAAAGATCAGCTTTCTGTTTAACGTGGTCACGCCGTAGTCACATGGGCGACGCTCCCATAACGTATTCCTAAAAGTTCGTGATTATTTTAAAATTCCTGTATTTCCGGATAAGCCTGCAATCTTCCATATTGTAAAAAAAAAAAAAAAACGAATTTTGGTTTGTGTTTTCAGTAGACAGTATATAAGCAAATGTAAATGGATAAAATTCGACAGAATGTAGAAATTTTGAAAACAAACAAAAATCCATAAATGTAGTTAAAATGAAAAGAATTGTCGACGTCAGACGTTTTGGTTTTAATAAACCATTTTCAAGACAAATTCATTAAAATATTACAAAAATACATATATATATATAATATACAAATATACATACATATATATATATATATATATATATATATATATATACAAACATGTACATACATACATATATATATATATATATATATATATATATATATATATATACATACAAACATGTACACATACATATATATATATATATATATATATATATATATATATATATATATAAATTAAAAAAGCAAAAGGTAAAAATTTCTAAAAATTAAAAACCCACATCCATCCATATATACATTTAACATATAAAAATACATGGGCAGAATTAAAAATACATACACATATACACACACACACATGCATATACATATCCATATATACACATATATATACATATACTATATATACATACATATTTGACAGTAAAATTTACCAGTAAAAATTTGTTCATCACCATATTTGGTATAAACATAAACACTTTAAAAATTTAAAATCAAACTCAGTGTTGCTTTGGCGCATTCAAAAACCAATAACTCATTTTTCAATAGCATTTGGATACAATAACACATATATTTTCGATGTCCTCTTATTACTAAGAGAAAAAAAACAAGAACAACATCTATTATATACCTGAAGATGTCTGTAGGAACAGACGAAAGCTTGTAGTAAAAATAACTAATACGGCAGAAATTTATATAAACAAGGATCAATTCATTCATAACGGATCTGGAGGTTTTTGTGTACTATTTGAATTGTTTTGCGATGATGGATGTCTTGCCATTTAAACCATTAACCTTTGCATTAGTTTTGTGTGAATAATTCATGTATTTATATATATATATATATATATATACATACAAACACATACATATATATATATATATATATATATATATATATATAAATTAAAAAGCAAAAGGTAAAAATTTCTAAAAAATTAAAAAACCCACATCCATCCATATATACATTTAACAGGAAGAAAATATAAAAACCCACAGAGTGATTAACACATATCTATCTCTTAAGTTTACATATATACCTAGGTATACAAATATCAGAAAACTATCAGATTTTGTATATCAGTCATCTAGGAAAACTCTTACCTACATACCCACATATACATATATCACCACATGAATAAAGTTAGCTAACCCCAATTAAATGATCAAAAGATATATAGAGAGCATCACAGAAACATACACAATGATACATATAGATAATAATAATAGTCATTCCATTTAAATGTCATGTCCGATGTTAGTGATCCAAGATGGAACTGTTACAGGTGACAACATGTTAAAAAACCGTGTTCACATATATATATATATATATAGATAGATAGATAGATAGATAGATAGATAGATAGATAGATAGATTAAGAACTAGGCCCTGCAAATTGGAGGAGAGAGTTATCAATGATAATATTCTGACTTTGAATCTGTGGTTATCACCCTTTAATCCTCTCTGTTTTTTTTTTATTTTTAAATGTATTTCTAGTCACATAAAATTTGGTGAGGCACAAGTAAATTTTCATTCTGTATTTTTCAAAAGTTTGAGAACCACTGCAATAGATGTTCAAAGTAAGAAGCCTCATTGGGGCTCATTGGCAAAAATTCAGGGACTGAACAGTGATGATGAAATGATATTAGCTTGTCTTTTTTCCTTGTTGAGCTATAAGAGCTAGGTCAGAGGAGAGATCAGTTACAAGGCTCCAAACATCTTGTTTTTTTTTAGGAGTACATCGATAAATATCTCTGCATGGAAATTTAAGAATTATCTGAGAATGTTTTTATAGAATTCTCTGTAGTATACAATGAGGATATAAATAGGCTTAACAATACATTTGCACCCAAAAATGCATCTATTTTGCACAACAAATACTTCTTCCTTGTTAATGCACTTAATCCAGTAATGAATATGTAGTTGGTTGCCTCTTTCAGTTTGTACCTGTTATCGGTCGAAAGTTTAAGTGTTGCATAAGAAGGGTTACTGAGAGACAACTTGCTACAAACTCTTTACATGTCATATCAGAAGACTGCTGCTGCAACGAAGGCATGGTTTATTCAAATAAAGGCACTTTAGGAATACAAAAGGCAGTTATCTCCCTTTGGTTGAGATAAAGTTATGTGGGTCACATGACAGCCGCTTAGTGACGTCACTTCATAGAGTGATGAAAGTGACTAGTCCGTCAGTTAGCTTCCAGGAATCGAACCAAGAGTTGTTTTTTTAGCAAGGCTAAATCTGCTTCCCCTGACCAGCTGCCATGTGGTGCAACTTACAAGACTATGGTATCATTTTCCTTTGGAAATATATCTTCACCAGATATAAAAACTATCTCAGGCTTGCAGTCCTCATGTTGGAAAAAACCCATGACTTGTTTCCTGTTTGAGAGGAATAAGTCCTTGCTAGTGACATAGTAGATAAATCTGGCCTGCTCAAATTTGGAATGCTAAACATGAACCCTCTGTTAGAAGAATCCTCTGGCAATTTCAATTCCTGTTGGGAATTATTACAAGTAACCACAACATGATACTATTAATCCCCATTAGCACAATTTAACATTTAGAAGGTATCATTAGATATAGGTTTTTCATTTTTATATTTTTCAAACACAGTCTTATAAATGCAAATGGATACAAAATAAGTTATTGCATAAAATATATTTCATGCAATAAAATGTGTTATTAACTTATTTCATTCAGTCAAATGAATAAACTTATTCTTTGAAAGAAAATCTTTTCAAGAATTTCTGACCCTACATTCTATGTGGATGTATTTGAATGTTCAAGTCTAAGGTTAACTGCTATGTTCCCCACATATCTCCATATGGACCTTGTAAAGAGTGAATATCATTGAAACACACACATAAACACATATATGAGTTGGGATCAGAATCAGTATAGATGAGAATCCAACAGAATAAGAACAAATAGGAAACTTTTATCAATCTAACATGTTTCACTTTTATTAAAGCTTCATTAGAGAATGAGATATCAAGTAAAAGAAAAAAAAACTACTTTGTGTTTGATTGTCATTAGTTAATCATGTTTCATGTGCATTTGACTTGTTAAATAAATGGTAGTATAACTTGTAGCATTCTGAATTAATATGTATGTATGCATATATGTTTGTATGTGTGTATCCATAAAAACAGATGTTAAAAAATCTATAAAAACCCTGTCAGCAATGCTTTACTAGTACACAGGGCATTACAGAGAGTAAAAACTGGGTATAGAGGGGACCGAGGAAAGGATAAAATTTGAATGAGGTTCAAGAAGATGGCGATTGATGTTGTATTTAAATTTTTGAAGATTGTAGTTATCAGGGAAGCAAGGAAATAGAATGGAGTTCCACAGGTGAAAAGTGCAAGTAAAGAAGAAGATGGAGTAGAATTGGCAGTTACATTTACCTAATTCAACAGTAAAAGGGTGGGACCTAGATGCCAATCTAGTAACACACTTAAACACCAGGGGAAAAAAGCTTGTCAGAACAGTAGCTATGAAAATATTTGTAGAAAAGACAGAGGGAAGCCACATCACATCAGTTCAGTGAGAAAGTGACTGAAGTTGAGATGCCAAGTCAGGATCAATTACATTGCATATCTTTCTTTGGATTTTGTCAAGAACCTTGAGATGAGTAGCAGGAACACCTGACCAGCATTCAACAGCATTCAATGCATGGAAGAATGGTAGTTTGGTAAATGTGCAAGATGGACTCTGATGAAAAAAACCTTCAGGCATGACACAGTGACCCAAATTTCCTTGCAGTAGATGCAGCTATTGATTCAATATAGGGATTCCACTAGTCAATTGAGAACGTGAGGCCAAGAAGATGCAGTGTGTTGCTCTTCATGAGTCTAGCATCAGCCATGCTGATGGTGGGAAGGAAAGTTTCTCTATGGTGGTTAAACAAGAGCAGTTTTTACAAGCCATTTCCTGCCCTACTAATTGGAGGCCCTTTTCAAGAGCAGTGGCCAAGCTTTGTCAACTGTGATGGATTTGTTATCGAGACAGGAGTAAATGGCAGTGCCATCAGCATAAATGCCTATTTGGGAATTGATGACATCAGGGATATTATTGATGAAGATCAGAAGCAACATTGGACCCAGGATAGAATCTTGGGGGAGACCTGCATTTGTGTGAAAGGATCCGGAAGCAAGCCTGTTCAAAATGACCTTCATTTCATGATTTGATAGGAATGATTGGATGAAATCAAACAATTAAGCAGTAATACCATAGCCCTGGAGCTTATGTAGAAGACCAGCATACCAAACCCTGTCAAATGCCTTTGAGATATCTAAAGCCACAGCTTTGCCATTTGTTATGATGTTGATTTGGGGTTAATAAGACAAACGCCAAATAACACGTAACAATAAAAAGGGGTTTATTCGGTTGGTAAGTAGGTACAGAAATCGCCTGAGTAGTCTATAACTAACTCAGCCAAGAACTTCTCTGACTCTGTCTGTCTTTTGACATGCCACTATTTAACGTCTTTGTTTGTAGACAAGTTCATCTTCAAGAGGGGTGGTAGGTTTCCTACACAACACCATTATTATCAAGAGCTTGATATATATATTCAGTGATGGCTGTTAGAAAAACAGAATCCATATTGTTTGTCAGTGAGTAGGTCATTAGAGGTAAGATGCTTAACTGCATCAGCATTGATTGAAGCCATAAATACTTTATTGAAAAGCAGTAAGAAACTAATAGGGCGATAGTTGGGGGGGGGCAGAAGATTCTCCTGAGTTCTTAAAAACAGGAACTACAGAGAGAACTTCCAACAAGCTGGAAAGCAGGAAGCAATAGTTGTAGAGTTTGGAAAGAACTGAAACCAACTTGGGTACACATTTCTTTAGGATGATGGCTGGGATCCTGTCACCTCCGCATGCCTTATTCATATATCATTCAGTAGAGCCTTTGTTCTAAGAGGGAAATCAGGTGTGGGTACTCCAATTGAGTCGAGTGTTGAGTTGGAAGAGAATTTTTGAGCAAAGCATTCAACCTTATCTGCTGTAGATGTCAGGACTTCAAATTGATTGAATAGATGGAGGGATGGAGGATTAGCCATTGTTTGGTACACTCTTGCAGAGCCACCAATAATCTCTAGAACTGAACTTGTGCAATGCTATATGTTTTTTCATTTCATTTTATTCATTTTATCAGCAAACAATAATTTAGCTTCTTTGAGGACATGCTTGCACTCATTATGAGCAGAGACAAAGAGACATCTGTTGCAATCAGACATGTCCCTCTGGTACAGCCAGAAGATGTGATTCCTGTGGGGTATAGTGGCTGTGCATGCAGGTGAGAACCAAGGAGGTGAATGCAGTTTAACTTGGTATTTCATTACTGGAATGAAAGCATCAATGCCGGTTTTCACCCAGGAGGAGAACTCAAATGTGCATTTGTCAGATTGATCTCCAGTTGACATCAAAGGAGATAGATTGGTACAGAAACTCAATCTGGCAGCATCATGAGTTACTGTTGATTTGGCCTGGGTTTGTGGCAGTGATGATATAGCATTGAAAACATGCCTGAATCCTGTTTAATCATGTGTTGACACCATCACTGTAGTTGTTACAGTAGATCTATCTATCTATCTATCTATCTATCTCTATATATATATATATCAAGAGAGTGAGATAGAGAGAGAGAGAAAGAGAGAGGAGTAATGGACAGAGTAAGAGTTTGAGGAATTGGAGAGCTAAGTTTGAATTCCAGTCGAATCTATTACATTCACTTACATGCTAAAACTCTTGGAAAGGTATGAATCCTCTTCTTCTTCTCCCACCAGCCAAGGGTAAATAGCAGGACAGACTGAGTTCTATAGCCTTGGGTGGCAACTGGTCTAGGAGAAGGACAACTCTGAATTCAAAACTTGCAGAGGGTTGTTTGGAGACTTTGTGGCATGTAAAAAAGCAAACCAGCGCCTAATTTTTTTGTAAGAATAAAGATTCAATTTAGATACCTCCAAAGTTTCAGTAATACATGATAAAAAATGCCTCAAATTTATTGTCAAAATCTTTATGTTATTATTAAGAGAAAAGACCAAAGGATTTTTTGATAGAAAAATTATTTTTTTTAGAACCTTCAAGATTTTAATTAAAAATTTTGTTTTCCCAGCATCAACATACTATAAAGTAATATGGTACATATGAATGACTTTTTGCAAAAATCAGATAATTGTCAGATTTTCATGAAACTTTCAGGACTTATTCACAATTATTTTTTAAATGTTTCTTTTTTAGAAAATTTTTGTAGAAATATATTTTTTACATCTGTTCCCAAGCCCCATTAATCTAACTTTATGAAATTCCAAGAAATTCTTTTTTGTAGCATTCAATCTTTATATTAGTTATAAGGAAAAGTCATTGGAGAATTTAAGTCATTCATTTTTTTTTAGAATATAAAAAATATAGGTTATCTCCCTTTGATAGATGGCTTCTGTTGATAATAAAAGGAGTCTATTAAACTGATGATAATGTGCATGATCCAAAATTAGGCATGAACTAGAATTTTGAGTGCCAACTTCAGACACAAAGAAGAACACAATGAGACAATATGAACACCATTCAGATAAGTGTATGATTTTGTCCCTGATGCTTTGACTTTTAACTGCTTATAGAATACGTTTTTAACAATTCATCTATTCTCTTTGTCTTTATTTAATTTATTTCTTGCATAAAGTATGTTTTTACAATGTTCAGTTGTCTCACTTTTTCATCAAGCCACAACACAGTTTGAGGAGTCATTAAATTTTCAAGTAAGCAATTTTGCCCAACATATATGTAATTTCACAAAAAATATATTACAAAAGTTATTTTTATAATTTTGCTATATAAATGTGTGAAATTTGCTGAATGTATAAAGCAATTTTGTTGGTATGATGACAGAGAATTAAAAAAATAGAAAATCAAGACAGATTTGAGCTTAAAAACATTGAGAGAGAAAATATCTAATTGACTACTGTCCTTATATTAGAGAAGATATCTTCTAATACTGTTTTTATATATGAAACAAAATATAAAGGTGATTTTTTTTGCCTCCACAGTTAAGT